TCGATGTGGAATCTTTCTTATCCTTGAGAAGCTGAAAATCATCACGTACAGAAATCTCTTTAAAAAAGTGTAAGTATAACAAAAACTACATTTTTGCAAAAGCAGGTTTAATATGGCTTCACCTTGGACTGAGATAGAAATGTATATGCTCCTTAGGTCTCCCTGAGAGAGCTGAATTCCCATTAAAGTGAATTTATTGTAGAAAGGCCATTTTTCTGAAATCCAGAATTTTTAAGTGGTTGTTTCTCAAGAACAGATTTTTTTTTCTCTGTCATTTCTTTCAGATACTTACTACTCAAAACCCATCAGCTGTCTCTAGATGCCTTTCTGTTTGCCCTGAAATTCATGCAAGTAGACGATGTTGATATTGATGAAGTCCAGTGCATTTTAGCTAACCTCATATATATGGTATGTGCTGACCACTTGTTGTTTGGTCCTTCCAGACTTAAGACAGTAAAAAATATTAGGTAGAGAATAAAGTTTATTACAAAACACATATCAGTAATCCCAGGTTTTCTTGTGTAAACAAGTTGATTCACCTGTGCCCAAAGTGAAACATTTTCATTTGCCCTGAGGGCTTCCTCTAGTTCCTGCCTCTTTTGCAGGAATCAGTTAAAACTGAAATTGAATTTTACACTACAAATCCAGTACTGACATTTCTCTATATGCATAAATACTGATTTAAAAATACAACAGTTGTAACTGGGACCAAAAGGGATTTGTTCTTCTGCATTTCAAGTCAGTGACTCTTGATATTCTAACATTCAAAAAAATTAAAACCAGATTTCTTTGGTTTTGTTTCATATTTTGTCTTTTACTGTAAATGGATCTGAACTACGCATGAACAGATAAAGGCTTGAAATCAAGAGATTTCTAAGAAATTGGAGGGTTTGGAGCAGCATTGCAGCGTCAGCAAGAAAATTAACTGCTGCTCTGTTTCTGAAACATTATTTGGTGTACTCTTGGAGTGACAGGGTGGGATTAGGTGTCAGGAAGGTTTCTTTCAGTGTTACAACACTACATGTCTGAAAAGGAAGTAGTATGTCGTTTAGTTGGTTAGGTTTGGAATAATGATTAATTAAAATCCTCATTTTAAAGTGAGCACAAGTAAACTTAGACGCACTTTCCTAGAGCTCTGTCTCTTCAAGGAAATGTAAGCAGACCAGTAGGGGGGGCCCTGGCAACAGTCTGTCAGTCTGACAGCACCCCTTAGTACGCAAACATGGTTATGGTTCCAACTTTCTGCTAACTCTGTGAGTTGACCCACTTACATAAATTGGATCCTTATAGCTATTACATACAGTAGCACAGCAGTGAGTGAGTTTACACACACAGCTTTGCTTGATGGAGTCTGAAGACAGCTGAGGTTATAGGCATTGTCTTACCAGCTCTGGTGCTAACGCGGTCTTTTTCTCCTTCTGCCAGGGTCACATTAAAGGCTATATATCTCATCAGCATCAAAAGCTTGTGGTCAGTAAGCAGAACCCGTTTCCTCCACTGTCAACAGTCTGTTGAGTATTGTGTCTTATCCATGCAAGTACTTTTTAGATACTCAGCTTGCCCAGTGGGGCTGCTCCTAATCACCCCGAGAACACTGTAAATGACCTGGTTCGTGTCCAGGACTGGAATACCAGGAACTGTTTGTGGCTCCTTTCCCAGAATGACCAAGGCTGCCAGTGTTACAAAGCGCGTTGGAATGAAATGCTAACTTTTCAATGACAGTTTCCGTGGGCTTTCTAGAGCTTTCGAAGTATCTCATGAGGAAATAAAGCAAAGCATTCCAAATTCCTTCCAAAGTACTTAAAAGCTTTTATAAAGTACTATGTGTTACTATTTTTGCATTTATCTTTCATAGAGGAGAAGTATCATCCTTTGTTTCTTGTGTTAATCCATTCTTCAAAGTGGAAATGATGTTTTCCATTTTTTTTAAGTCTCTTCAATAATCTTGCTGGTATTAAATACTCTCTTCAAGCCTTCTCTAAAAACTAGAGAAGTGCTTGACACCAAAAGCTTTACTGTGTCAGTGATACTTATGGGTTCAAGTAAATGTGGGATTTTTGTCTGTAGGTACCAACAGATGGGTTTGGGTTTTTTTAATTCTGTAATATTTTATTTCATTTTTGTTATGATGAACAAAAGCTTATCTAAGTAACTTATCAGTACTCTGTTTCATTCTGCTTCCGGGGAAAACACTGCCACTGAATCCGTTATTCGAAGTGTTACTATGTTGGGGGTTTTGTTTGATTGTTTGGGACTGGTACAACGTAACTTTGTCCATAGTGATGGGATGGTAGTTTTTGAGGTTTTTAATTATTTTTAAAGACAATAAAACATTTTTTCCCCTCTTTGAGAGTTGGGTTTTATTTTACCTACTAACTGATGTGGACATGATTCATAAGGGAAAACACAGGTACTGTGTATGAGGGGAAGCATTTTCAGTGTGATGAGAGTGTCGAGTCCTGCATCAACATAGGCATTTAAAGGCTCGGAGCTCCCCTGATCCTCATAAGTTTTACTTGTATGGATGCTGAAACAAGAACATGAATTTGGTGAATCAAGCCTGAGGGTAACAAGAATTAAAAAGACTCATTTATTTCTAGCAACACTTAAAATCCCCAAAAAACATCAATGCTTTTTGAGTTTTAGGATGAATAGTTCTGGGAAACTTCAGTCAGTTTGTAGTTAAATAACTAGGTTTACTGCATCATGACTTTCACAGTACTGTATGTCAACAGAAGAAGGAAAGACAATGGGACTTTTCTGTATGAATTGGAGTTATATACATATCATCGTTGCAACTGCCTTGCTGCAAATCATGATAGAGAGTCAAATGGGTGTACTGGGCGTTTGGTGCTGGAAGGTTGGTTGTGTTTGCGTCTCATTTCATTTTTTGTTTAAACCATATCATATACCTGGCGGTGTTAGTGAATAGAAATGTTTCCCAGTCAGTGTCTTCTAGTGGCCAGGATCCCAGGATACCAGTCAGAAACCAAGTGCCCTTATACTCTGTAGCTAAAAAGCTTCCTCCAGCCAGTCGTTTGTCTACGGCCTCCTGGAGGTGTCCACAAAACTGCCTGTTTGTGAGGCTTATGTTGAGTATTTGTTTGCTTTCCTCAGCAAACCTGCAACTCATCACCTTGGAGTTCATCGCCTTCCATTCTCCAGCCACTGACTGTGCCAGCCAGTTTTGGAATTAAAATGTGTTCTGCAAAGTCTCTTTCAGGGGTGCAGACAGGAAGCTGGTGGTTGTTGCACTCGACATGCTCTTGGAGTTGTAGTAATGCAATGTTGTTCTCAGCGGTGTCTTCGTCATACCGGATGTGTATGTGCTTCTCACTAACTTGCAGTGTCTTCTCAGTTCCACTTGTTCCATTAGGTCCTGTGAAGCAATGACATTTCACTGCTCTTAGGAATAATTTATTAGAGACCTGAAAACTGCATGCAGACTAGCACCAGCTGCCTGATCATGCTGAGAAACGTGTGCAGAAGAGAAACTAAAGGTGCTTTTTCTTGAAAGCACTGCAGTAAGGGTAAACTAGTTATGATCCGTTGACAGCTTTTTAATGCTGTGTAGAAGCATGCAGAATTTCAGAGGGAAGGACAAACACCCAACAAGAGAAGGGAATTTTGGCATGAAATAAAAGCCACCTCTAAATGCACCTGGATTAGCTTATCCCTTGGTGCTGAGTTCTGAATTGTGTTCAAGAAGCAGTTTTCTCTCTGCTTGGGTTGTAGGGGCTTATGGGCTGCTGTCGTTCTAGCTCAAGGAACTGAGATGTTTAAACGAGATGACAGCAGATTTGCTTCCTTTAACAGTATTTTTATGCAGCAAAAATTTTAGTAAGCGTTTGTTTTTTTTTTAAAATCAGCTTGTCAATACTAAAATGTGTTTTAGTCAACAAGAAAAAATGTGTTTGATCACCTACCAGCACCAACCCTGATTTCAAAATGGCTGTGCAGAAGGGCGCACTCTGCTGTAGTCAGTACAAAGTTACTTTTTAGCAGCACTCCTCCACAGAAGCCCTTCCCTTCTGAGTTTAGCAGCAGGACCTAAGAAAACGTGATAGGTATGACAGATAGCATTGTCCGTGTGAGGTGGAGTGATGGGTTTAATGAGTTGCTAGAAATACCTGCCAAGGAAATCCTTCATCACGTTTCTTCCTGGTTTTGCTTATCAGATTGTCACTGTCTTGAAGTCTGCCACATGCACATTGATCTAGCAGATGAAATAAAAAAAAATAAATCAAAACTTCATGCTGATATCATTTCAAGACAACGACTACCTGCAAATATCTTATTGCTTCCACCTGGACCTCAGGGTTTTGTTTTTGCAGCAAGGAAAAGGAGAAGGAAGATTTCTCGGCTGGTGAGAATTGGAATAATTTGCTTGGCATCTGTAGTCTAATAGCTTAGTGATGGCGCTGAATGTTTTGGGTCATTGCTTAGGCTTGTGGTGACCAGATTTCACTGTGTCTGTAACTAATGAAAAGAGGCTTCCTCTCCAGCCAACCACAAGCACAGCTTGCTTCCTCATCTTTGTATCTTGTAACTGAACTGTGCCAAATGCCTTATAGCTGTGGCCCAATCTGGACAAGGTAAATCCTGGGATCTCCTTGTTAAAGCTATTACTCCAGGAACATGCGTGACTTTATGTTCTGGTTCAGCGTGCTTTTCAAGTGGATCCCCCAGTTATCTGCCTTTATCATGCTTTCTGTTCACCTTGTGGCACGGTCTTGGGTCATGCAAACTGGATCCTGTTCAGGTGAAGACAACCTCCAGGAGTGGACCTGGACAGGCTGGAGAGTTGGGCAGAGAGAAACCTGATGAAGTTCAACAAGGGCAAGTGTACGGTACTGCATCTGGAGAGGAATAACCTCATGCACCAGTACAGGTTGGGGGCTGACCTCCTGGAGAGCAGCTCTGTGGAAAGGGACCTAGGAGTCCTGGTGGACAACTGGATGACCATGAGCCAGCAATTGCCCTGGCGGCCAAGAAGGCCAATGGCATCCTGGGGTGCACCAAGAAGAGTGCGGCCAGCAGGTCAAGGGACGTCATCCTCCTGCTCTACTCTGCCCTGGTGAGGCCGCATCTGGAGTACTGTGTCCAGTTCTGGGCTCCCCAGTTCAAGAAAGACAGGGATCTGCTGAAGAAGGTCCAGCAAAGGGCTACAAAGATGATTAGGGGATTGGAACATCTCGCTTATGAGGAAAGGCTGAGGGACTTGCATCTCTTTAGTCTACAGAAAAGAAGATTGAGGGGGGATCTTATTAATACTTACAAATACTTAAAGGGAGGGTGCCAGGGGGATGGGACCAGTCTTTTTTCAGTGGTGCCCAGTGATAGGACGAGGGGTAACGGGCACAAACTTGAACATAGGGAGTTCCATCTTAACATGAGGAGGAACTTCTTTACTTTGAGGGTGGCAGAGCACTGGAACAGGCTGCCCAGAGAGGTTGTGGAGTCTCCCACTCTGGAGACATTCAAAACCCGCCTGGACGCTGTCCTGTGCAACCTGTTGTAGGTGACCCTGCTCTGGCGGGGGGTTGGACTAGATGATCTCCAGAGGTCCCTTCCAACCCTGACCATTCTATGATTCTGTGAGTCCACTTAATGTACGCTTATCGCGAATGGGTGCTTAGTCCACAGGACCAAACTAGAGCTAGTCTGAAGTAAAGCCCGCCTGAAATGTGCATTATGAGTGGACATCAAGTATCAAGCCTTCATCACGAAAACTGTGGCTCTGCAGCTCAGCTCCTGTTTGGCTGCCCTACTTGCTAATACAGACAAGAGCAAAGTATACTACTGTGGTTTTAGTAGACCTAGTTTATAAGGGGATGAGAGGGAATGAGATACCTAGTATGAGATTGAAAAAATGAAGAGGGCTAATGCTTCAAACTAATTGATGTGGCAGCAAATGTTGCCCTTCACTTATCAGACCATCAAGCGCCCAATCAGAATTAATTGAACCTTGATCCCAAACAGACAGGTCTTCAGCGGAGTTACTCTTTACTGAGCAGAGGAGTGGGAAACCTGGCCCACTGAGTGATATGTAGGATGATGTAAGTCCTCTCTGCAGACCTGTGTTTAAACGTTCAGATCAAATATTGCTCCCTTTACCACTGCTCCGGCATCTTGGGTGGTGCTCCCTAGATTCCTCCTTTTTCTGCCCAGGTTGGAAGGTCAGTAATATCCTCATCACTTGAGTCTCCAAGCAGGCTGATCGCACCTGGATGTCAGATGGTGGCCTGCCCACCCCAGCGCTGAGCACGTGCCCCCTTCACTTCCATGCTCACACCTACCTAACGCGATGCACTGTTTTTTGTCCTTCCCGAGCTCATAGCCATCAGCACAGGAGCAACGGTAGGAATGACTTCCCGGGTAACAGAAGTGGTGACATCCTTCCTTTGCTTGGTGGCGACATTCATTTTTAGCTAAACAGAACAAGTGGAGGAAAAGCATTGGGAACAGTTCAGCTGGAGTTTTCTTGCATAGCTCGAGTCCTTTTTAGTCAGCATTTTATTTTTACCTGCTTTGTGTGGAGGAAGGTAGGGGCTCTGGCTTGGTAGTATTTCCCACCACATTCTTTTTCCCCTTGTTAAGCAGAAATTGGAGACAGCTGAGTCTCTGCAGCGTCCACAGTCTCATTGCAAACTGTGCCCACCCAGCACCTCCCTGCACCAGACTGTCTGCATCTCTGAGTTTCAGGGAGCGCTAGCCAAGAGTTACACTATGCCAAACATGGGTTCATATGGAAGGATGCCATGGGCTTTCTTTCTGCGCTCTTGAACAAAACACTATGTGTCTGCAGCAGGGGGAACTGGTGCACCTGTTGAGAAGGCAGGTATTGCTTGAGGAAGAAGGCAGCTAAAGTTTTCTGGTTTCCGGCAAAAATAAATGCATAACTCTTATTTCTCATGCTTGTGCTGAGAAACTTAAAATTAACAGTAGCCAAAGATAAGAAAAAAAAAAAAAAGAAAGGGAATATTAATCACCTTTGAAACATGCTCAGTCATCTTTCCATAGCCGAGTAAACACTTAAGCTTCATCACAAAGCAACAGGAGGAGCAGCCATTTGGCGGTGGATCTAGCTCACAGGTGAAGAAGTAGTAAAAAACCTCATCTAATGTGTCTCCCTAAGGCTCCTGCTGAGCAGATCCAGTTCCCAGCACTGGTCCAAGCTGTGTTACCATCTGTGCTCCCCCAGAAGCTGGTCACAGTCACACCCCTTATACAGAAAATGACCCTGCCCTGCGGCAGCCGGGGCGTCTCCCACCCCGGGGGACCCCCCAGCCAGCAGAAACACTGATGTAAGGGCTGGAAAGTAGAACCTGGCAGATGTAAAAATGTAGGATCCGGCCCAGGGTGTTTTACGTGCCAGAAAGCATCCATTTTGCTTTCCTCCTTTTACACTTTGAATGAAAATGGTTTGTTTTCTGGAGTCCCTCTGTCCTGAGTGACTGTCTTGTGGGTGCTCGTGGCCTCAGGGAAGCCACCCCAGCACTCCAGCCCTGGTTCTTCAGGCCATGTGCTGCCTGGGACCACGGCAGGACAAGCAGCTGGGGAGCACGGGTGGCAGAGGACAGGGCTGCCTTTGGGGCCCACCCGTGAGGGGGGGAACTCACTTCAGCCCTCTTGCTGCGTCCCCAGAGAAGGGAGGCTCAGGGGGAAGAGGCAGCTTGCGTAACCCCAGGATGCCATAACATTTTGGTAGACAGGCAGCACACATCACCCCTGCTCTGCCAAGAACTGTGTGTTTTAACCTACAATATGGCTGTAATGGGAGAGCTGCATGTGGTTTCCTGGGGACCCCCTAGAACAGGAGGAGATAGGGTGTCTCAGAAGAGGGTGCGATGCCTTACCGAAAGCACAGTCCTCTCCCTCGTAGCCCTCAGCGCAGGTGCAGGTATAGCCGCGAATGCTGTCCTCGCACACGCCGTTGTGCTGGCAGGGGCTCCACCAGCACCTCCTGCCACCTGAAGAAATGCCACAAGAGAGGGACACCTTGAAACCACCTAACTTGCTTCAGGCTGGAGGTGCAACCCTTCCCTGTCTCCAGATACCCCCCACTGCGGCTGGACCACCGCCGCTGACCTCAGTTATGCAGCCCCCTTCCCAGCACATGAGATGCTCGGAGAAGTATTGCAAAAAGGTTTGGGAGGAAATGGGCTGCATCTCACCAAACTACTCCTCAGGAGTAATTTTAGCCCAAGTCTCTGCTTCCAGAGGTGCTCCCGCAGCCCCCGGCAGGGATGTTGGGAGGTGCCCAGGAGCAGAGCCCTCTTCTGTAGGACAGATGTTCTGCTTCAGAGAAAACCACTGACTTAGTTCATGTGCTTGTTACGAATGTAATATGAGACTGGCCTTTTAGGTCTCCCATGTTAGGCTGATATGCATATGGATAAAAAAATGATTGTATGTATATACAGATTAAAAAAACAACCCTGGCATCAAGGTTATACAGTGAGCAACATCCAACTAGGAAGAAATCTCGCTTTCACACATCTGTATAATTATTCTACAGCAGCTCAGACCCGTGCAAGCTTAGTCTTTCTGACACATCGAGCACTGAAACCAGAGGATGCCCCATTACAGGTGGAGCACAGGGCAGAGCTGCCAATTTCCCTTGAAGCTGCCCACTGGAAAGGCTCCAAAAGAGTTTGGAAATGTTCTCCAAATAACTGCTTATTGTAGACATGAGTTATCAGGGAGCAAGCCAGAAAAGCCTAACCTGGGATGTGCTCTCCAATCACTCCGAAATTGAAAACTTCATCAGAGAGGTTAACTTCAGTCAGTGGACTGCTGTAATTAATATCAGGGACAGAAAGGTGAAAACTGTGCCTCGTACTGGGACCAAAACACTAATCAGCATCTGCTCAAGCTATGGGCACGTGTACCTTTGAGTGTTAGCTGTACTAAAATACTGGCTTAAAGCAGTTACCACCTTCAGCCTGCCTGCAGTCAGATGCTACCACACACCCTGGCAAAATTTAGGTCTCCTGGGAGGGTTTTGGGGTGGGTTAGGGGAGGTCTCATCAGCACAGCTGACCAGGTAGAGCTGAGGAGTGGGGACCTGCAGCTGCAGTGGTGGGTAGCTGGAGACAGGGAAGGGTTGCACCTCCAGCCTGAAGCAAGTTAGGTGGTTTCAAGTCTCTGAAGTGCATGCTCAAATACAGGTAAGGAAGTCTCAAAAAATACCTGTGATCAGGTGAGGTTCTGTAAGACTGGGGAAAAAGTAAACCTAGCGCCAAGCTTTATTAAAGGAGGAAAGAGAAGATTCAAGGAATGATAGAGAAAACAGCACGATTTCCGTTACTGGAAAGCTACTGGAATGATTAAACAGTTTGTAAGCACTCAGCAAAACAAGAAGGTAGCAAGTAACAACCAACATGCATTTTTCAAGATAAATAATCCAAACCAATTAAATCTGTTTGTATTGTAGGCTAAGGGACCTAGTGGGGAATCAGTGAACATCATAGGATAGAAATTTCTCAGATGACATTGTCGTTAAGTGAGCTAGGAAAACACAGACTACTATAAGACGTGCACAAAACTGTTTGGAAAATGATGTTGAAAGAGAGGTTATCAATAGCTAAGTTTATACTTTTATTAAAAGAGGGTCAGGGACAAGTGTGACCTCAGGCCAAAGTGCCCTGGTAGCATACACCCACACTAGAGCAAGATGCCATTTGACTTGAAGAGACCAAAGTGGAGCAGTATAAAAGAGAGCCAAAAGGTGAGCCAGCAGTTAGGAGGGTGCTCAGCCTTTCTCCCCAGCTCTCATATTCCCAAGGCATATTTACCCACAGTATCCTGGACTATGGAAGGAAAGAAACATGGATACCAGAAGTCTAGAAAATGAGATTTTTGGAAGACAGGATGAAAAAATGGGTTTGTTTAGTGAGGGGGAAAGAAGCTGTGGAGGTGCATGGCAACACTCTTCAAAATGTTAGAAAGTGTCACAAAGAAGGAAATGCACTCTGCTGTTCTGTACAAAGAAGACAGGACGTAATGGCTCTAAATTACTGCAAGGAAGTCACCCCTGACGCCAAAGCTAGTAACGCGTCCTGATTGTGGCTAAGGTTGTTTGGACAGACCATTCTCAACTGGTTGCCCTTCTCTCTTCATAGACTACAGAGGAAGCCTGCATGATGTGCTTAGTACAAATAACCAAAAACTGAAATCAGGAGAAGTTAATGCCACCCTCACAGAAGTAATGAAACCCATAGCAAAAGCCAGATATTTAGCATCGTTCTTCATAACATTTATATCACTAATGGGATTCTTCTATCTAACAGTTCACTGGACTCAGCTTTTTAGTGGCTTCTGCAAAAAAATGAATTCTATCTGCTGGTCTTGCCACCTCCTTATCCAGCGTTTCAAACTAAGATTAGAAATTAATAAAAGCTAAGTAAAAAAAAAACCACAACCAAACAAAAACAAAAAATCTGAGGATGAGGCATGCAGAAAAGGAGGGAATAAGGCAAAGTCCCCACCAGCTGGTGCCCCAGGCTCCTCATTCAGGAGGCATCTAGTTACATCAGTCCCTCAGCTTTTACAGATTCGTTTTTCGCCTTGCCAGCTGCCAGGGGTTGATGCAGTGCCAGCGTCCAGAGTTTGCAGGCACCCCAGGAGCTTTTAACACCTATTTATCTCACTTAGGTTTAAGTGCTAGGTTTGCCTTTGGGAGGTTTTGCTGGTAATGCTGTGCTGCTCTGTTGTCTCAGCAAAGCAGATTTTCTCAGGTCCTAGGCTGAACATCCTTAACTTCAGGAAAAGAAATAGCCTATTTGCTATGATAGCATCTACTCACCTTCAACTTTTATTCACTTTGCAGTTAATGTTTTTTTCCTATTTATTACTTTTTTAAACCTTTCGCATCAACACTTTTCCTCCTGCTTCACTAGAGACATGACAAATAGCAACTGGGTGTTTCTTGTAGGATAAACTGCGAAAAACTCTCAGAAAACAAGCATTGGCCTGAATCATAATGGTCACAGTGTGACACCGCTATGAAGGAAAGAAGTCAAGAGGCCAGCTCACCGTAGTAGGCATCCCAAAACATTTTCTGGAAAAAAAAAAAAAAAGGGGAAACGAAGTTTTAATTCTCAAATAATATAGTGTTCTATAGTTATTTCAGTAAAACAAAAGCATTACCTGGGAGAATATATACTACAGTTTAACATTTACACAGTTGCACAACTGTAAGTTCTGCCCTGCCAGCAAAATTTGAATGAGATGGCAAGGAGTTTGCATCCTGCTTATTTTATTGTTTCTTAAGAAGCCATTAAGGAAAAGAAACACTTTACAGGCAAGAGAGGAATAGCTGACTCCTTTAGCAACACAGCTTCCTGGAAAAACTGTCTGGCCATTGTCTCTCTGGTGTGCTTGATCAGCCTGGGAAGTGACCCTGTCCCGTCCCATCCCGTCCTGTCCCACTTGGCCCCCAGCAGGTGCTGCTGGAGGCAGAGGGGACAGCCCGGATTGGAGCTGCAGGTCACCAACACTGGTCACCAGCACCGTGTGCCCCGCTTTTCCCTAGCTACTGCAGCTGGTCCTGCTGCTGCTTTCCCGGAGGGGAAACCTCTCCCCACTCCCTGTACCTCACCCCTGACAACCTCCCCCAAAGCACCAGGACGGCCCATGGGCAGCCCGATGGCTGCTTCCTCTGATTTCCCTGCAAACATCATCTCCGGCCAGATTCCCATTAAAAAGCACGGTGTCCGGCTGTACGTGTCAGCACGGCCTCTTGTACCAGGGGAGTTGCAGCCACTGACCAAGTGAGCCTCTTCCTATAGGTCCCACCACTCATTGGTGCTTCCCTCTGTCCCAACACCCCCTTTGCCCCTCCTCGTGCCTAAGGGATGCTGAAGCTGAATCTCTGTGTGTGGTCAGGATGGGACAACAGCAATATACTTTCACAACATAAGGCGCAGGACACATCATTTCCAGAAGGGGACTTTAAAAGTGTCAGAGCTGACCTCCGCATTTCCATTCTGACCACTGAAGACACCTGCTTTCTGCATGCTGAGGTGGGAAGGTATCACATGGAGAGAAACCCAAACAAAGGAAGCGGGCTGCAGGGCTAAATTTGATAGTAAAAGTCCAAGGCACACAAGAAAACAAAATACTTACAAGCATTTCATCATTTTCAAATACTTCTCTTGCTTCTTCTTGTGTACATCTCTCTTCGAGGCATTCCCTCTCCAGGCTGCCTTGGAGAACCTCCTCCAAAAGTAGGGAACTAGCACGCCTCTGTCTCTTGATAACGTTGTTTGCATCATTAGCTGATATAAACACTGAAATGTTGTATGACAAAATGTCAACCTCAATACTTAGATTCATTTCCTTATATATTTTCACCATTTTCCCCATTTTTTTAAAGATCTTATTAAGCAGCCAATTTTAATCACGAAGAGAAATCTTTAGGCTGATTCAGGGTTTCAGCAACATTAAATTTACATGCTGGAAGAGCCCTACTTTCTTAGCCCAAACTCAGCTGAGGAGTCGTGACCTTTTTCTTTTGGGGAGAGCCTGACTTGCTCCCAAGCAAGGGGAATTTGAAGCCCTTCCTGATGCCTTTTTTTTCCTGCACCAGACACACAGCAAAGCGTTGCTGTGGCACAGCCAGGGAAAGGGGAAATGTATTATCATAAAGGCAGAGGCTATTTTGTAAGACTGCGTGGGGCTTCCAGACCCATCAGTAGAAGTGGAAATGATTTGTATTAATTTATGATGATGGATCCGAAGTGATGCCCTTCAGTCTGCCTTCGCGGGGCTTTTGCGCTTAGAAGCAAAACCATGACATGGCTAAACTCTCAATCTAATCTCTCTTATGCAGAATAAATAAAAGCTACCCCTCAGCAATGCTCAAAAAAGTTACAAGGGCTGTACCATACAACATCCTTTATGTGGAAGACACCATAATCTTTTTGAGTAAAGAGGAGGAGAGATCAAAGACATGAGAACTATCAGATCTTACAACTCCTCTTTGCAATGATGCCCGCAACAAAAACCGCGTGCCAGCCGGATGGCCGGTGCCGGGCTGGAGCCTGTTGCCTTTGGCATCAAGCAGTGTGTGGCTGTGTGTGTCAGCACGGGTTTGTCAGTTCTCCTGTGCTTGGAAAATAAACCTGCTGGGGCAGGGACTGGGTTTTTTTGGGGTTTTTTTGTATTTTATACAGTGTTTGGGGTCCCAGCACTGCTGGGCACAAAGGTTGAAATAATCAATAATATTAGAATTGGAAAAAGTGACAGCAATAACAAAATCATTCTGAAACTGCATACAAATGCTTAGTTATGCTTTTGAAGGATATCTGATAATCAACAGGCTTCCGTGTGATATTTAAAAAAAAAAAAAAGCAGCTTAATGTTTGTGTTTTGCAATTTAAAAAGTTATCTGACAGCCCAGTGCACTTTTGTGCTGTGCAGTGTTTCCGACGCACCCAGCATAACTGGCAGCGCACTTCTGCTGATGCCAGGGGTGGTTTGACCTTCTTAAGCAGTCACCACCTTCTTCTTTGCCCAGCTCCTCCTTAATATTGGCAAACTGTGGAGGATTAATACAGAAACATAAATTTCTTCCAGCTGTAACAAGCATTCATCTCAGCCTCTTTCATGAGACTTATTTTTATTTCAGCAGCAACTAGAAATAGAATACAAAATTCTCTTTAATATTTGTGGCGCTTTTTAAGAATGATAGGAAAAGACAGAATATCACTCTGGTGTAAATGATGGTAATTCAAAATTACATTGCCTTAGTAACCTACTGCAGTTTTTACTTATCTATATGAAAAAAAAACCCAAACCCAAAATAAAACCCCACAGGAGAAATGTAAGGAAAATAAGGAGCAGACAGTTTTCAGTGGTGTCACCCTGTGCTACAAAGTAAGCACAATACAAGGTGCAGAAGTAGTGGTGTGTTTAGAAGAGCCGTAGCACAGACCAGAATTAAAGCGGCAACAAAGCAAAGACCATACCTGTCTGCTCTGTTTGAAGGAAAAGGGCAGAGAGAAGAAACAATATTGTCCAAGAGCACCTTGCCATCGTTACTCTCTGAGCCTAGTGGCCGCCTGCCTGCATCCCTGCCGCTCTTGGGGGAAATGGCTACAGGGGAGATGTTGAAGTTTAAAGTCCAGCGGCCCATGAGAAAACAAAACCTCCAAGGGCAAAGCTTGGCCTCAATGTCAACACATGGAGAAAAAAAAAAAAAAACAAACCACAAAACCAACTCAAAAAAGCCCTGCTTAGTGAGGTAGCAGTGCCCCTTCTCTTAGTGCTCTGGTTGAAGGCGGAGCGGGTTTGCCAGCTCTGAGAGCTGCTCCAAGGTTTGGGTATTCCTCCCACCTCACAGCCTTCACTTACCGTAACACAAAATGGGGAGACAGGAACACTATGATCATTTCTTTGCACCACATCAAAGCACAAGCTGGATGATGACTACAGTGATCAGGTTTTTGGTGTGGCTCTTTCATACACTGTCCCCACAAAACATTTGCCAAGGCTTAGCTGCACTGGTCAAATCCCATCAGCTTTCGGAGCAACCAAGCAAGCAAGCATGGGATTTCCCCTGTAGGGATGTATCTGAACGGATACGGCATTTTTCTTTTTGACTCTCAGGTTTGCACTGCCCAGCCATGAAGGAAAGCATGGGGAACCCTTCCTGATTTCAGGATCCCGGTCACCCAGACACACAGGAGGTGAAAGGAGGTGTAAGCGGACTGGAGCACCTCCCTGGGCTGCTGTGCCATGCACCCAGCAGCCGGAGCAGCTCCCGCCTGGCCCAGGATGAGAGGAATGGTCCACCACAACAATGGTGCCGCAGGGACTTGTTTGGCTCTCAGCACAGGCAGGGGCCTGGGAAGAGCAGGGAACCATTTCTACAGTCAGAGCAACAACCCGTGAGAGGAAAAGTGTTTGGTTTTTTTTAGCTGAGTTAGAAACATAGAGTCCATTCTGTGTTTTCATGTCATAAATTCCCAGATATTACTTGAGTACGCAGTTCTTGTAACAAAGTGTAATTGATCTGCGCATTCATGGGTAAATCCCCAAATAAAACTTCACTTTACGTCAACGGCAGTTTTTAAAACCAGCGTCAGTGAGTGGCGAGGCAGATGAGCAGGGCTAAAGCAGACAATGTGCCTCGCCAAGGCCAGTCCCTGCCAACCCAGGGCTGATGTTGCAGCCCACGTCACAGACCCTAATGCCTTCAGCAAATAATTAACCTCTGCATTAAAACTGCATTGTGGGAGGTTTTTCCTGCACAATCTCTGCCAGGATGTTGTTCCAGAAGTTCACCCGGGGTTAAAACTCTTTTAATAACAAGCTTGATTTTATTTACAGCCAGTTCATAACCTTACCTATTTATTTTTCCCTCCTTGATATTTCTGCAGAACTAATTAATATAGCCTCCCATCCTCTTTGGTTAACTCTGTGTCAAGCTTTCATTAGTCAATGAGTTCTCCATGCTCTCCTCAGTCCCCTGAGGCCACCAAACCCCACTGTTCTTGTCCCAGCCAAGGGCTTCCTGGCTGGGTAAGTGTGTGTGTGTGGGGGGGCTGATGCCAGTGGTCACATCTGGTGGGTGCTGGGGGGGTCATCCAGCACCACATGTGCCCAGGAGCCTCTGGGGAGGCTCACCTCGCCCTCCTCACCTTGTGCCGCAGAGGCTGCATTGCTTTTCTGTACTCCTCTGGCCAACCATCCCCATGGGAGCGCTTGGCAGTGAGGCTGCTGCTGTAGCCCCCTTGCCATAGCCCCGCTCTACTTGCCTTTACCTTCCCGTGATAACGAGTATCGCCCCATGCATACGCAGTACGGCAAGTCTGGCTCCCTTTGGCATGAAAAATATGTCACCACTTGATGTCAGCACAGGACTTTCCAGAACCCAATGCAAAAACGCAGATCTGCAGATATTTTTTTTTTTTTAAACAAGCTGTTTACAGATTTCAGACCTATGTCAATTAAAGAACTCTTGGAAGTATAAGGTAATTATTCAAATTAGGTTAATAATAAAAACACAGAGCTTCAGAAGCTGTATTCTCACCAGACCTTAGTTTACACAGTCATTTTTTCTTACTGTGTTTGTTTTAAACAAAGTTTTCCTTGATTGAACAGCTGTGTCCTTGGGGATGGGCCACAGTGTACTCAGTACGTTATGGCACTGACTTGGCTTTTGCTGTATCAATATTATTGCAACAGGCTTTACATTTTAATTGTCATACTACTATGGAAAATTGCATAAGGAGAGGGTTTTAAAAGGGCAGTCCTTTCCTCACATCTGTCTTTATGAAGAGTTACTGGGATTTCTTTTTCCATTCCTTTAATTATCACAGTGAGCACACGGAGACGTGTTTCATTAAGGAGTCCCGCACGCTGTTTCCCGTAGCCCCGGTTAAGGATCACCTCCTACTCGAAGGGTCACTCCTTCCAGCGTGAAGCCTGCACACAGTGTCAGATATGAAAACTGCAGTTCCTCAGGACGGAGTAACTTAGCTGGCCCTGCTTTAGCCTGAGTAACTATGTCACTGTCACATGCTTTTGGGAAACGCACACCTCAGCTAGCGAAAGGGGACAGCGATTATTTTCCAGAAAACCTCACCCCCGCACTAAGCAAATAACAAAAGCCGATGGTTGGGCTATCAGCCACGTTCCTCCCTGGGGATGTCCTCCTGACCAGCAGCATGTGGGCACTGCGGTTAGTTGAGTGTCGTGGACACTGAAGATGGTTCAAGGTGAAGGGGACCATGGTGCACCTGCCCCGTGGCAGGGGGTCCAGGCTCACAGCAGCAGCTCCAGCCTCCCCTCTCCTCCGCCTCACCTCTCTGCAGCCTCTCATCTTTGCATCAGCCCTTGACAGGGATCTGGGGGCCCTGGGATGAGGGAAAGCCCACAGCTCTCTGCTGCTGCAGGGCAGGGAGGAGGAGGAGGGATGGGGTCAGGGCCCATGAGGAGCAGACCCCTCCAGTGTCATCTTGTGCCACGCACCCCAGCCTGGTCCTGTGTGCCTGTTGTCAGACCACGGCTCTGGGAGCACAGGGGCAAAAGAAAAGGGGAGGATGTGTTTTCTCTGATGTGCTTAGAGGTGTGTAAGTTGGTGGTTAGTGAGCCAGCAACGCTCACCTCACTGGATATATACAGCAGGGGCCCCTCGAAGCCCCTCTGCTCTGTGCCATGTGTGCTGCAGGTGGGCCGGGCGAATTTCTTACCTCTGCCTCCTCTCCCAACCCATTTTGCCCTGGTACAGTCCTCAAAACCCTGCTGGCTTCCTCTGTGCTCTCCGCTTGCTCCTGGTTGCTGGTGTGGTTTAACCCCAGCTGGCAACAAGGACCATACAGCCGTTCACTTACTCCCCCTTCACCACAGTAGGGTAGGGAGAAGAGGGAGAAAAAAAAAAAAACTTGTGGGCTGAGATAAAGACAATTTAAAAGAACAGTAACAGAAGAGAAAAAAAAAAAAAAGGTAAAATAATGTACAAAATAAAGTGATGCAATGCAAATGCTCTCACCACTGGATGATGGGTTGCCCATCCCATCCTGAGCAGTGATCACAGATCCCTGCCCCCCAGCCAGCCCCATTTAAATACTGAGCATGACATCTATGGTATGGAATATTCCATTGGCCAACTTGTCCTGTCTATGCTCCCTCTCATCTTCTGTGGGAAGCTGAAAAAGTCCTTGACTTAGTATAAACATTACTTAGCAACAATTAAAACAATCTGTGATATCAACATTATTCTCATACTAAATCCAAACCACAGCAGCTACTAGGAAGAAAATTAGCTCTATCCCAGCTGAAACCAGGACAGTTACCCAGCACCCTGGCTGGCAAGGCAAGGAAGTAGGACCAGATGTAAATGACTGATATGCTTGCAGCCCCACTGCAGCCCACCATGGGCAATATCTGTCCACTGCCAGGTGGCACAGGGCAGCAGACAAAGACCTGCTAAACCCTACAGCCCTGTCACTGCTTTTGCTAATTCCCCATGGTTACGGCAAAGCCACCACCTTGTCCTCTGTGTCATAATTTTCCGTGCAGGTCACTCATCTCCCGCCTCCTGCCCAGCAAACTGAAGACAAAAACTGCCCCATGCCCTCAGTATCAGTGGCTCCCCAAAGCACCATCCCTTCGCCTGAGGGAGAGGAGAGGATCGTGACCAGCTGCCTCCTGCCTGGCTCGTCTCACCCTTCCCATAGTTAAGAACCCTGAAAAAGCTCCAGGTAAATCACAGCAATCACTGCCAGCTCCAAAGAGATGGAGAGACCAGAGGCCAGATTTTATTGTGGCAATTCCTCTGTCAGAGGGATGGTATATTGTGGTGCTTTAGGCTATTCTTTGCATAGAGAATATGGAAATGGAAGCATCAGATTCAGGAATGAGGGAGAGCTTTTTCAAATTAAAGAAGAAACACTCCGTTGCCAACAACTGTTAAGGAACAACAAAATGGGAGTGCATCCCTCAGCCCTGACTAGACACCAGCTGGTCCAAAACAGATGACTGTGGTCATGTGTAGTCTCGGTCAAGAGCTAGCAATGAGTGATACAAGTTAAGCCCATTTACATGCTGATGTACACTCTGCTCGTATGAAGCACTCTTGTCGGCACCCATGCTTTTAAGCAGCACAGGTCTTTGTGTGTACAGAACCTGGTCAGAGAGCTGGAGCACTTCTGCTATGAAGACAGGCTGAGAGACTTGGTGTTGTTCAGCCTGGAGAAGAGAAGGCACCAGGGGACCTTATAGCAGCCTTCCTGTGCCTAAAGGGGTCCTACAGGAAAGGTGTAGAGGAACTGTTTATCAGGGAATGTAGTGATAGGACAAGGGGCAATGGTTTTAAACTGAAAGAGGGTAGATTTAGATTGGCTGTTAGGATGAAATTCTTTACTCTGAGTGTGGTGAGACACTGGAACAGGTTGCCCAGAGAAGTTGTGGATGCCCCATCCCTGGAAATGTTCAAGGCCAGGCTGGATGGGGCTTTGAGCAACCTGGTCTAGTGGGAGGTGTCCCTGCCCATGGCAGGGGGGGGTGGATCTAGATCATCTTTCAGGTCC